CAGAAGGCGTATGGAACTTTGGCGTCGTCTGACGTAGAGGCGGAGACGATCGAGCAGTTAGTGAGCCTTCCATGGAAAGCAGTAGTATTGAGGTATTTCGAAGAAGAAATGAGGACTACGCCAAGAATACATGCTCTCGTGGCAGTACCTTACGTAAGGACAGAATTACAACTCAGGTTCGCCTGGTACATGATGGGACTGACTCGCGAAGAATATGATTCAGAAGAAAGGAAGAGATCAAAGGAGGAAAAAGTTTTCCTTATGACGAATCTGAGGGATCTGATAGTCCAGGAGGGAGCAGCAGTAGCGTGTGCAAAGCGGAGATACGCTCTCTGTTTCATTCGATTCCTGATAGAGCAGATCTCAGTACCTGCATTAAGCACTTGTGTTAAAATGTTGAAGGAAGGCGATGAGCGAACGAAAGCCATGTTCTTACTAGCAATGCTGGATATGCAGCAAAGTAAACCGATGAGGGTGAACATGAAAGAACCTGAAGAATTGGAACCCATGAAAAAGATAGACGAGATCAGGAGATTCTCAAACAAGGAGTTGAGGCTCACTAAAGAATCTATGGGAGCATTGCCGAAATCCAGTGAATACTGTGGACCGATCAAGAAGAAGTCATATAGCTATGTGTCCGGGATTATAGGGATAGCATACAATCCTTTCCTGAGTGAAGACATACGCGATTGCTTCTTTGATTATGAGCAGGCGGTGTTACTAAGATTCTGGACGTCCAGAATTGTGACGACTAAGGGCGTTAACAATCCACAGGCCAAATTGGGATTGGTCTTGGAAGAAGAGGTGACTGCACCTTCAGTACCAAAATCCGACAAGAGAGTGGAATTTGGGTTGGGATTCTCAGATGAATTACTGAGAACGAGCTTGATGGCAGTGTGGGAAGGAATTGATGAAGCCATCATGGTGTCCTAGTCCCAACGCTGACTCAATATTACGGGCGACACAAGACATACAGAGGGAACTGAATGCGGACTGTAACCTGCGTGACCTCAACATCATATATAATGTGATGATAACAGCCTCTAAGAGCAACGGAGAAGATAAAGTGGAGTTGCCTGGCTGGGGACCAGAAGACTGGGTCAAACCTGGTAGCTGTCTGGCGGAAGTCTGTGGACTAGAGGGTCACGTTTGTGGAAGTCTAGACTGTGTGAAAACCCTGGAGAAACAACACAAGCAGTTGACAGTATTGTTTGGAAATGTAGTGATGAAAGCAAGAACGGAAACGGAACTGATAGCAGATTGCCATGGAGGAACCGATGTGAATCTAGTGACAGCACTAGGATTCTACAGCATGTTTGGTTCTTTAGAGTCACTATTGAATCTAGAACAGAAACATGAGATGGTCACAGCCATCAGCGTAGAAGTATTCCCAGGAGTTCTGCAGACTGAGCAGAAGTATATAGGAAAATGGAGGGAAGCAATCGAAACAGAGATGAACATCAGACACAGCGAAACTTATTGTAGACCATCAGGAGCACGATATTTGGTGGGTTCAACGTTGGCTCCAATGTGCAAGAGCAGATACCCTGTACATTTCGTAGCTGTGGACGTGAAAAATACAAGAACGATTGTGGATCAAGCCTTCTCAGTGCCAAAGTGCGTGAGATTGGCGAGAATGTCTGAAAAGTCTTACGAGTTACTATGTAAGATGTTCTCAGCAGTTCCAGAGAGAACCAAAGAGGAGTTGGAGTCAATACTAGGAAAGAAGTTCATGGGATATGTGAGCGGGAACTTCAGTGACTTTGAAAAACAGAAACAGAGAGGATCAACTGTCACAGATTACAATGCAGTAGATGAGAATGATGAAATCCACCGAGTGATGATGGAAGTGGAACCATTGCTGGAAGCTTCAGGAAAACGCAATTGGAGGAGCATCATGTTGACACATGACGAGTTTCCTTGCCACTGCTTGCTGCAGACCTGGTGGTATCCCAAGCGTAGTAATTTGGTGTTGATCTGGGACTCTGGAGAGCTGCTCTCCATGGGTTTACCAGATTCATCACAGCCCATAACAATAGTGATAGTGGGAGTTATGATGGCGATACGATGGCTGGAAGCTCATGTGAGAGAAAATAATAGACAGGAGGCACCGACGAGAGAACAATTGCAGAAATTAGATTGTCTAAAATATTTAGATCTTTTTGAGACAATGTGCAAAGTTCTAAACATTCCGATGGAAGTGAAGAAGATATGGGCAAGAAAACGATTGATGCCATGGTTCAGAGCTAACATGACTGCATGGTTGTACGAGTATGCGAAAAAGCATATGTCGAAACATGGCAGAGTGTACAGTGAATATCAGCTGGACATTGGGGCAGGAGCTTTCAAGCGAGCTTTCGTGACTCATCGGAATGCAGTGACCACCGCTGTGAAAAGAATTTCCAGGACGAGCGAGCGTAGTGGAAATGAGAAGGCAGAGATGCTGAAAGAAGATTTGGAGAGAAACGTGACGTTGTGTCTCCACAACAGCTTCTGTAGAAACAGAGAATCAAACGTGGATCCCCTACCTTGCTGTAAACAGAGGGTGGAAGAGCAGAAGTGTTGGAGGACGGCTTCCAACAGCGTCAGGATAGTCAATGACGTGCTACAAGACACGGAAACCGAGAGTGCGGAGTCAGTGTCACAGGAGGAGGAAATGGAGCATTGACGAATGGTCGAGAAAACAAGAGGCGGCAAGAAAAAAAATTAGAAGAATTTAGAGGTTTTAGAACTTCTAAACGACGAAAAAAGAAGAGAACAAAGGGATGATGAAGAAAAGTTAAAACTCAGAATTGTTTTATGTGTGTGAAAAACTCAAGTGAGAAACCAAGCAACCAAGTTGTAATTGAAAACTGAAACCTTTATTTGAGTTTTGAAATTGTTGCATTTATAAATTTGCATTTTGGTTTTAGTTGAAGTGGCTTTAGAGACACTCACTTATTATTTATTTAGAAAGGCTTGAGGGAAGAGTATATTTAAATATTCCAGCCTGCATGATTGTTTTTAATCATTTAGGAAGACTGATCACTTTGTGGTGACATGAAAAACTTGAGTAGCTTCTTGAGGAGGGAGGTTGTTGCATTGTTCCTTCTAACCACAAAGTTTCTTAGTTTTAATATTCAGGGCAATAAACAAGCAAGATTTCCGAAGGGAAGGAGCATAGTAGGATAATTTTAGCTTGTTGGTTGGCAGGACTGTCCTGCAAGCCAACACCTTTTAAATCTAGGAGAAAAAGTTTCAATCGGGACATTGACACTGGAAGTCAGAAAATATGTTTTATCTTAAGTCATATCCTCAATGTGCAGATTAATGAAAGAATTTGAAGGCTATAGTGATGTAGTATGATGCCATTTGTATTCTGCAGTGAGTCGATGTGACGTAGGTAAAAGTAATTTCGTGCATTTTGTAAATTCTGTTCGATGACACTGTAACCATTTAGAACATTGCGCGATTCAATGAGGACATTGACCGGACTGTCCGGGGAGTGTGTGACATTCGACCAGAATGGCCAAAATGCAATTTATGCAGGATTCGAATTTTGAGCAGTAAGCCTTCCGAGTTGATGATTTCGAAGGATTAGCGACGTTATTGGAACGTTTAGCCAAACGGTGAGGGCTAGAATATTCTAGTATTTTAAATTTTCAAAAATTCGAATGATGACGTCACATTTCTGAGAAATGCTGAAACGGCCATTTTGACAAAAAGCGAGTGAAAAACAGAACAACTTTATCTGTGATTGCGAACAGAACGAAAATCGAGATTAAAGAAAAACAACAACGAACTACAATAGCAGAGAACGTTCCAAGTTGCAACTTCTGTGCTGCTACAATAGTTGCAAGGCCGTTGCCAACAACGGTGAAGGGTGAGAACCAGCCTTCCGGATTGGTGTGAAATTGAACTTGAGGAGCTTGATTCACTGGATTCAAGAATCCGGAAGGGTTTCGGGACTGGAACTTTTAGCCTTTTATATAAACTTTTAGCTTCTTGTCATGTCCTGAATTGAATTTAATTAACAACTGGATTCATTTTGATAAGGATGAGAAGCTAGGAGTTGGGGGAAAGGGTTGATCCATCTTCGATGGAGATGATGATTTTTATCTACTGAACAAAAACAATAGTAATATGATAAGTAGTAGCCCTGTTTTTAGGAGTGACCTCGTGGTCTGGGGATACTGAGACCCAGCCATGAGCTCACTATTTTTGCATGTAATTCAGTTAATTTGAGCGTTCTGGTCGAAGCCGGAGAGCAGTAACGTTTTTGTCGACCCGATGTAAGAAAGACCACCGAAAAGTACTGGCTTGGTAGAGACGGTGAAAAACATGCAAAGCTCTGTTTAGACGCTAGCCAGTCGTCTTAAGACTTAGTTTTGTTATCCGTCGATATGTATCTTCCGGGCGAATGTTACAAATATGATGAAGTATGCTTGATGTACAATTGTAACTTTGGCATTTTTGTCCCCAGTAGGTGGCAATGTTTGAAATGATTGCTCCATGCAAGTTCTTTTCTGCTTAACTTTTGTTCTGTTGGAGTTATTGTTGTAGAATTTCAATGTTTTTCGCAATTGATACATATTTAGTGCTTTGAAAATAGTCGAGACAGACGATGAAGTATTGAAAGTTTTCTTCTTTTTGCTTTGATATTACGAGTTTCTTATAGTACACTTGCTTGATTGCGGCCTGCCTTTTCGGAAATGCCTAAGGTTTTTGTGCTGTGGTCCGACTGTTTGATTTTGTCCATGCAATTTGTTATCGATTTTGGAGAAAACATGTAACCACCAGATGTAAGCGTTCAAATTGTTTCGCAAACGATGCGCAAGTCTGATTTGCTGGTGATAAATTTGATTTGCTTGTGAACTTCCCAGATTTTCATTTTTGAATCGCTTTCTTTGATATGATTGAATCGGAACATACCATGCTATTGCCAAGACAATCGGAAATAGTTGTGGTTATTTTTTTTTGTTTTTGTGTGATGCATTGTGCAGAGCTTTTGTTCCTTTCAGGGGTTTGTTGTCAGGGATTCCGAAAATGGCACAGAACACTATCATGCGGTCACCTGATTTCTATCCAGTCTTTGGTATGTTTTGAATTTGAACCTGAATAGTGCCGACAATGTGGTATAACTAATTTCTTTATGGGTTCTTTTTAGACGATAGAACCAAAGGATGGGAGATCGTGCAGATCTGGTTTCTTTTGGGGATGCTCGCATTTTATCTGCTCGTGTGCCGTTTTCTGAAGCAGTACATGGTTACCAGGAATGCCTTTGAGATAAAGGGGCTGATGGTAGTATATAACATCTTCTTAACAGCATTGTCGGCATACATGTTTCACGAATTCTTCATTGCAACGTTCTGGACTAACGATTTCAGTTGGTTCTGTCAACCAATCAATTCTGTGAAGCACATCGATGATCGGGTAAATCCATTGCTTAGCAACCTGTAGATTTAACCACTACGAAAAAAAATATCACAGGAAATTGTTTTCCCTCAACGATAATTGTTCCCGATCGGGTAATGAGAAAAATTTGTACCCAAGCGTCCCCCACAATTTCAAGTACCGCATAAACAGATCGCACTAAGTCGAAAGATATATCATATTAAACTCCAATGGTTACACTTGCAATTAGCAAGCATTCTCAAATCGAAATATAAACTTTTTCCATTAAAAAATCACTTGAGTCATTTGACAGCACGTGCTGACATGCTCAAGTTCTTGAAATTTTAAATGAATCTTCTAGACTACTGCTATTACAGTACACTCTAGATATCATCCCTCTTGATATTGATAGTTCAATTTTCTTGGCTCCTCCGGCACACAGCCTATTTTTATACGCGTAAGTTTTGCCTCTGGAGAAAAAGGCAAGGCTACATTTGTTTGGAATGTTTTTTTAATACTCTAGTTATATTGTTTTCAACCAGATCTTGAAGTTTTAATAAGAGCCTCCAATAGTTTTTCAAAAACTTAACTTTGCTGAATTTCACTTGTCATTCGTCGAGCAACCGGTTATTCTTTTTTTCTGTGAACGGTAAATTTCATCCTTTTCTTTTTTCCAGTCTAAAAATTACAAACCGAAAATTGAACTTTATGATCGGATATTTCGTCCCTTCTTCAGGTACCACAAATATTCAATAGATAGCCTCGAATTATTAACAGTAATGAACGTAGTGAGTACTCTATAGGTCATGGTGTTTTTTTACAGAGAAATGAACGTAGCGAATATATAATCTTGGTGAATTTTTTTACGGAAAAAGTCTTGTAGTTAGTTCAGGCTCAATTTTGATTTTTCGCGGATTGAAAGGCAAGCTCCACTATGGAACAGCAAAAATGTAAAAGTCACGTAAAACGTGATTGACTTTTAGTTTATAAAGATGATTTTGTTGTTCAGATTTCCCAGCGGAATTGAAAATTTACCTATTGATCGGCCTAATTAGTTATAATTTCCGGCCTAATTGGTTTTCTCAAATTGGGTTAATTTTATCAGGAAAGTGACAATCATATAGTGCTCAAGAATTTCAAAGAGCTTTAAGGGCATTTATTTTTTCCTGAAACATCGAAAGTTGATTTTTTTTTCAAAAAACAAGCCAGTTTTTTTCCTTCCGTTCATCACTCTTTTCAAACTGTATGTTGACCATATTAAACCATGTAGCCTATTGAAGTTGTAAATAATTATCTATATCATTTGTTTAGAAAATTGGTTGTCCAGAAAACTTCGATGTTTAGACTAAACTAGAGTAAGAAAAAAAAACACTTCTTTTAAAGATTTTTTAAGCTCAAAGCTTTCTACGCTCAAGATTCTACACGTCACGCGCTTCACGAGCACTATAAACGAGCCAAGTTTTTTCAAACGGCGTCAGATATGTTTGCGTGATGTATCAGCAGCCGTGGGTGAGACGCGCGGCCTTTAACACAAGTAGTGTTTTCGAATCTCGTATCGGTTACGGTTGGAGGAGTCCCAATCTCATCCGTTTAATAAAGGTGGGACCAGCTGCGGCAAAATCGATGAAATTTCTCTCTCTCTCTCTCACGGAAAAATGCATAAAATTGAATGCCGGGAGCCTGGCAAGGGCGCTAATAAAAGGGGCTCTTTTCCACTTGCCCCCGGTTTGAATAAACTATTGAACTGTTGCCTTATTGCAATGAAGATTCGAATTGTGAACAAACATACTATTCAACAAATTTATTCTTCGTGCTTCACATTGTAAATCATACAAATAATCATTAGAACACGTAAAAAAATAAAATTTAGAACATCATTTTAACTGTGTGTGTGTGTGGGGGGAAGGGGGGGTTGGTTTGGTGGAAAAGAGTATTTAAATTTTAATTCGATCGATGTTTACGATTGCGATAGCAAGCGTTATCAAATTGGAATAAAGAGTTTTTTGGGTGAACAACTAGTTTCACACAATCACGTGACCTATTTGATAGCTTGCTTTCAATGAAGTTAATTTTCATGAAATTGTGGATCCAGTAGTGTGGTGGTAAAGTGCGGGGTTGTCGCGAAGGATCAAAATTTCGAATCTGAGACCATACCATGCGATGAACGCAGTTAAGACTCTTATTTAGGTCGCGATGATTTTTTTTTGTTGGTTTTTTTACAGGAAAAGTCTTAAAAATAATCAGGCTCAAGTTTACTTTGCGCGGTAAACAACTTTGTCCACAGAACTCATTGAACTAGTTGTAATTTTGTTCATAATGAATTCAAAATTTTTAGCGTCTCTTGCACGCTTAGCCTTGTGGTAACGAATACGCCTGGGACGGCAAAGGTCCTGGGTTCGAAACTGAGCAGGACCAGTTTTTTTCAAACGGTAATTGTTCCGGTTCAAAAAAGTTTCTGACTATTATTTGTCTGCTGTTGTTTATAGCGTTTTGAAAATCTGGCCGAATCGAAGTTTGCTTTTCACATTGGTTGCAATTTACCCAGCTCGATGTATTAAAATTTCATTTTTGTTTCGTCTTTTTATCGGCTTGATAAATTTCGGCCTAATTAAAATCGACTTAGTTGCCTCTTATCGTGTCGTTACGTCCGAAAAAAGTTTTTGTGCGCGTGTATGTTGTCTGACGGGAAAAGGGTTCTGAATATCTTTTCGGCATGAAAGGTTTCTGCTCAGGTTTTTTTGACTTTGTTACCGCTTAGTAATTATAAATTCAAATCCAATCAACCATCTAGCGTAGAGGTAAATCAGCTGCTTGAGGTGGCAAAGATTTGCGGTTCGAATCCGGCCGGGCCTTTTTTTTGCAAACTAGAGTTTTAGTGCTTTTTCGGATTATCATCCGTCTGTTTATTTTTGTCGGTTTTGTTGCCGCAGCTAGATGTTTCAGCTTTTTTCCAAGTTGCTGTTACCCCCATGCTTGAGAAGACAAAGCCCAGGAGTTCGATTCCAGTCGAGATCTGATTTTTTTGCAAATAAAAAATTTTCGGCTAATTTAGATTATTGTCTTCCTGCTTATTTTTGCCGGCTTAGTTCAGCAGAAAAGATTGTTTGAAAATTTGTTTTTTTTCTAGCATTCTGAAAGATCTGTAAAGCTTCTAATGATGCAGGCAATTTTTTTTTTGATTTTAGGTTTTTTGCAAATTTTAATTGACAACCACGATTTTTCTGAGTTTTTGTTTTTCCTTTTTTCTGTTTGATTTTATCATAGTCATTCATTTTTGTATCATAAATTGTGCGAAGCTCTAAGTTGCCTATGTAAAAAAATTTTGAAAAATTTCTCGGTGTCAAGAAAAACATGTAGGAAATAGCTGCTGTTTTGACTAAATTAGAGTGAATTGTGTGATCACTCTTAATTTTATGGGCAAGATGTCATAGTTTTATGCGCTGAAAAATTTTGATATCCCTCCCGTTGCATGCAAAAAGAACTAAATTTGAAAAAATCAAAATGTTTTGCTTTTGGCTAAAATATCTGTTGGCGGAACATTTAAGAAAAAATATTTGCGAACTCAGGAAATATGTTGCTGCGCAAATAGCATTGTTCAGAGCAGTGATACTATTGCAATAAACAATAAAAATCTTACTCTATTCTCCTTTCCCGCCCTTCATTTCGGGCGAAGAAATCATCTCGGCCCTAAAGCTACAAATAGTTTTTCTTGCCGAAAAAAATTCCATGAGCTCTTGTTTTCCATATAAATTTGTCATTCGCCGTATGTCAGTTTTTATAGTTTTTGTTTCGCTTGATCAAATTTAAGTCTGAACGTGTGCACTTTTTTCCTTGACAGCCACTATTGTTTCTTCGTGTTTGAGCTCCAAGTTTAGTTTGATGTTTTAATTTAAACAAGAAGCGTTTGATCGAATGTTTGCTCTTTTCGCGTGATCAAATTTGTTTGAACACATGCTGCGGTATTTTGGTTGTTGGTATGTTTACAACGGGATGATTCCAATGGTCGTAAAGCGACTACATACAGCAGTCCAAGGTCTCTGTTGAACTTTCATGGCACCACTAAGTGTAATAAAATCTTACTCTAGCTAATAAACAGCTTATTAAAAAATTATTCACATGAAAGTCCGTGTTTATTAGTCGTTTCATGTTTTTTTTTTCACTTCAAGCCTAACAGAAAATCCAAAAGCATGCAATGAAAAGCATGAAAGTATTCAAGTTCATAAGTATTACCCTTTTTATTAAGTGCGCATGCTCATTGTCGTAATATTCATTCAGAATTTTTTTGATAGTAGTGATATGCAAATAGTTTTGCGCATGATTATCTCAAACAGTGGGCTGTAATCACCATGTGTATTTTTCCCATCCCTGGTTGCAATTATGCACATGTTGTTGTTTTTGTTAATTGACCATGAAGTGATACAGTTGTAATTTGTTCCTGGTTAAGTGGTTAAATTGATGGGCTGTCAATCAAAACAGCCTGCAAATGGCATAATATTCCTCGCATTCTCGCTGTGGGAGGGAGAATGCACAGTATGTAAACAATATGTTGCGTTAGTTTAGTTGAACTGATGTGAAACTGAACGTTAATGAAGCTGGTAATTAGTAATTAGACCTGTCAATCAATGAATCGGAACAAGGTCAAGAATAAGGGCGTTGCGTAAAAATTTAAGCGTTAAGTGAAAAGGAAATGAAGGGTTATAACTATGAATGATACCACGAATAAGAGTTGAAATGTCTGTGCGTTCGTACAGAATTCCCACCTAAATTCATTGGGGGAGGGGTAGGAGAGAGATTGTTCACATGGTTCGTAATGTGTTGTAGTTGCTGTCGGTGTGTTGGTGGTACTACGCGTCCAAGTTCATGGAGTTCTTCGACACCTGGTTCATGCTGGTGCGGAAGAAGTTCAACCAGGTCTCCTTCCTCCACCTCTACCACCACTCTAGCATCGCTCTCATGACGTGGTACGCGGTGGTGTTCGTGCCAGGGGGCAGCACCTTCTTCGCCCCCCTGCTCAACTGTTTCGTCCACACTGTCATGTACTTCTACTACCTCCTCAGTGCTGTGGGAGTGAGCCAGAAGTATCTGTGGTGGAAGAAATACATCACCAAACTGCAACTGGTCAGTATAAGCTTCTTGCTAACCATTCTACCTCTAATATATCTAATTGAACAGTTTCCACCCCCATAAAGAGCTAGATCAAGAAGTGTGTACGAATTTTGGTGTCCAGGAGCGAACAATTGCCCAGTATAAATGCAGTTGTTGGTAATTGCAGAAAGCAAGCGTGTTTGAATACGAAACTGGAGTTTTGTGCTTCTAATACCAAGCGTTAGATCATTTCAAGGATTTTTTGCGAACATTTTATTCAGAAAAATTCAAATTACGCTCTTACCGAGCATATAAACATACATTGTAATTCCCCCATTCTCGAATATTTGGGTCTGGTTTTTTCCAGCTTCAAGGAAAAGAGTTGCTGAAGTGGTCGTGATTTGGATTCTCTTAGAGGATCAAGTTTGGTATTATTTCGCTGGCGATTAGCAAGCGTTATCAAACTGGAGTCCAGACTTTTTTCGGGTTAACAACTTGTTTAACAGAATCACTTTTATCTTGTTTCATATTGAATTCAAAGTTGTATGCGTTCCCGGCCAACTTAGCCTGGAGGTAACGAATAGGAGTGGGACGTCAAAGGTCCTGGGTTCGAGTTATTCTGTTTCAAATGAAATTGTCTGCCAATTATTTGTCTGCTTATCTGTTGTCGGCTTAGTTGTCACATCTTGAAATCGTTTTTTTTTGCTTCTCGCATTTCTTAATGTTGCTTTTATTGTTTGATTTACTCCTACAATGTGTAATTGTATTAAACTTGATTTCGTGTTTCTTTGTTTGTTTTTTTTTCGCTTAAAAAAGTTCTTCGGCCCAAATTACTTCGGCCTTTTTTATCGGCTAAATGACCTAATTTGTGGTCGTTTCAAAAGAAACAACTTGAACACTCCCTTCCGGAATTTTCATCTTCGTTGTGTCCAATCGTTTTGTTGATTTTTTTTTCATTATGGAAAACTATTTTCAAATTCATTGGAAAATTTTTAGTTTTTCTCAAACTTCTACGGATTTGCTAAAAGGGGGTATCAATTGAAAGACCGCCTACTCGCTTTTGCGCCTGTATACTCCCCTAGAGTCTCTTTTTACTTGGGCCCTTTGTCTACAATCTTCGAAAAATGTGGGAATCTTTTCTGCTTGAGTGGCCACAACCTGCTCTTAGCTGGAAAAAAGTCATTGATTTTGGAAGTCCTTTTGACCATTTTTTAGAGCTTTTGACGTTTTTTAAGAAAATTCTTAAAATTCACGCTATCAAATCTGAGATGAAAAGTTCAACTGAAAGAACCGGTTGCGATAATGGTTCCTGCAGAAGCGGCGGCTCCGTAATTTTTTGTAAGAGAAATGTTATCTCCGTGGGAAAATTGACTACCTCAACATTTTTTGCCCTTGCTGATTTTAGTGGAGAAACAACTAAGGTTTTGGGCAAAGTCAAATTTTTATTTCACATTTTTTGTGCCGCTTCAGTATAGCAAGTTCTTTCAATATCAATAACATACCCCCCCCCCCCCCCCCCCAGCTTTAGCTAGATCCTTCGTTTTTTATCTAGACATACGAACATTTTGGTTCAACTAGTTTTTTTCAACATTCAAGTTTTTTCGACTTTTGTGTTTTTGTTGTATCGCAAGTGGTGCGAAGCTCCGTTTTGCCTCTGTGTTAAGAGTAATGAACCTAGTGAGTACTCTTATATAAATCTTGGTGATTTTTAGGAGTAACGAACGTATATTTGATTTTTCGCTGTTGACTCTTAGTTTCACTTCATTTCCTTTGTTTACACATGCGAAGCAAATTATATTAGTATGAACTCTATTTTTTCCCAATCTAATTCGCAATTTTTGGTGCCACTTTTAGGGCACCTTTACAACTTTTTGATAGTATGTGCTTTGACATTTGATTTTAAACAAAAAATAACATCAAACAGTATCTCGCAATTTTGTTGAAATGTTGAATTTATACATAATTTGGGCTTATGTTTTCCAATTTATTACACGCAAAATTGTGTCCTTCTGTATTTGGTGCTACTTTTGCTGCATCGAATTTGCAATTTATTAGCAAATGTAGCTGCGTTTTAAGTGGCTAGTTTTGGGGGATTTTAATTATCCGTGGCTGAGTAGTTAGAGTGTGAGACTCAAACTTGCTAGGTCGCAGATTCGGATCCGACCGAGTTTTTGCTAATTCGAGGCTTATTTCTACTTTTTCTTTTATCACTGGATAGAGCTGCTTTTTAATCGTGTTCTCGCAAGTGTTTGCAAAATGCAGCTTCGCCTCTGTGTAAAAGGAAGACAAACTCCACTATCGAACAGCAAAAATGTAAAGATAATGAAAAATGTGATCTACTTCTAATTTTGAAAATGGAATTTAAATGTCAGATTTCCCAGCGAAATAAAAGATATATCTTCTGATTTTTTTTTCACGTTGTGTTGATTTTATCCAAAAAAAAGCACTAAATTTTAACTTGCTTTTAAAAAACTTCAACTATCAAAATTTAGTGCTTTTTTTGGATAAAATCAACACAATTTGAAAAAAAAATCAGAAGGTATAACTTTTATTTCGCTGGGAAATCTGACATTTAAATTCCATTTTCAAAATTAGAAGTAGATTTAAAAGCAAGTTAGTTTTTTTTCTGTTTGCTCGCGTTCATTACTCTTTTCCAACTGTCAGTTGACCATGTTTTTGAAGTACTACAAGTCGTGTTTCGGATTCTTGAAAACTTTTTTACAAAAAATTCTCTTTGACGGGAATATTTTCGATTTTCAAACAAAATTCTACGAAATTTGCTAAGAGGCTTACCTCATCAATTTAATTCTACTACAAGCTGATTGTTATTTTCATTGTTTTTCCTTTTCCATTTGTGCAGTTTTTCAACTAATTCACTTTCTTTTCAAAAAAACAATAACTGAGGTTGATAGTTCATTCAAATTGACATGGTGCTTAGATTTTCCTTGCGTCATCTGTTTCACCATATTTTTTTGTAGGAAAGCCAATATGGTCCTCGGGAAATCCATTTTTAGAAATTTCTAGTGTTTTTTCTAGAATTTTTATTACTTTTCGAAAAATACTAGCTGAATCTGATATTAAGATTTCAATCTAAAAACTAAGCACAGTAATTTTTCCTGCATAAGATGCTATTCCCATTCTAAAGAAGAGAAAAATTTTTCGAATTAGAAAAGGTCAAGTTTTTGATTTTTTGATCGTTTTTCGGAATCTTTTTCACTTTTTTTTTGAAAACTACCCAGCCAAATCTGAGATAAAGAACTCAATTCAGAGAGCGACTAGTAACTTTTCTCCTTCAAATCAGCAGCTAATCTCCTACTTAAGCGGAGTTTTTACTAGGGTTTTGCGTAAAGTCCATTTTTTTGGAATTTTGAAAATTACGCATATCCGTATCAGTTTAATAAATGATTAAAAATACTAAAATAGGTTCATCCAGCCTTACCTGGGCCACTAGTTTAATTCCAAGTGACCGTGGCGCAGTTTAATTCCAAGTTTAAATTTGGAGTAATGTTATCAAAAAAGCGCCAATCATAAATCGTTCTAGAAATTCAAAGAGCTTAAATGTCATCTATTTTTTTTTCTTTGAAATTCGAAAGTTGAGATTTTTCAACGAAATCAGTGTTTTTTTGAATTGCTTTAATTAGTCTTTTCCAATCTTCGATTGGCTTTGTTTTTACTTTGTTTTGCCTAATTGAGAGTTTTTTTGCATTTTTCCTCGCTTGTGTTTACGAAGCGCAGCTTCGCTTCTGTGTTCGAAAATTTACTTTGATCTGAACATACTGCGCCAATTGCACAGTAAACCTCTATTCTTTTTTGTTTCCACATAATCTGGGACAAATTTTCCCGCCTTCATCCGTAAACTAGTAAACCGATTTTTGACCCATTTATTTCCTGAAGGAAAATATTAAATGTTACTTGGTGTGAGAAATCATGATCATATGTGCAGATAGCTGTTTTAAGGTTATTTGGCGTCGATTTAAAAGAGGCGCTACAAATCCCGCTACATGCTAGAACACAATGTTCTCAACTTTTCCCTGTAACGAACTTTGTTCAAAGGATAACCTAAATTGGTAGTCATCTCCAATTTTATTCATCGTCTTTTTTCAAGTGCCATTTTTGATTATTTAGATATCGCAAAATTCAATTGTCACAACAAATAATTATATTGTTGATTTTATTGAGTTTGTCCAATTTGTTTTTGATCTTCATAAATATGCTTTGATAGATTTTTAGTTTCTACATTCCCTAAATATTTACCGATATTTTTTTCGGCTACATGGCTTCCGATTTTTTTGTTTTAATGGTTTTCAATTATTATTTATTACCGACTTAGCGTGTAAATTCGCGTTAGGTTCGGAAAGTTTTCTTGTAAATTGATTCATGGTGGTAGCGTAAAAGACTTTCTAGACATGATTGAAATTTTAAATAAGAAAATCGAGAAGTTTATATTTTCTGTAGCTCGATTAATTTTGTATACAGTAATATTATGCAAGTATCGGTAGTTTAGAAGCTTTTGGTTATACTTTTCCATCAATTGGCTTGTTTGTTATTCTTTGTTTCTTTTCTTTATGGTGTTAATAATCTTCATATATGTATAGAATGGGTTGGTTCATCATTTATAAATTGGTTGATTTTATAGTTTTCAGAGAAGTTTTTTTGTGGTATTTTGTTAAAAATTTTAGAGTCGATGAATGTAGTGATGACTCTTTTAGGTCGTAAAGATGTTTTTTTTTTGTTTTGGTTTTTTCGGCAAAATTTGATTTTTCGTGGTTTAAGTATTGATTTCTATCAAGTTCACTTCGTTTTCTTTGTTAAAATGAAGGAAAACTCCACTTTAGAACTCTTACAGTGTAAAGTTGACAAAAAATGTGATTGCCAAGCTGAATGCATATTTCCCAGCGGAAAAAAACTTTACCTATTGAGCCAGATGGAGTTTATTTTATCAAAAAATTGTTAATCTATAAAATGTTCCTGGAGTTCGAAGGGTTTAAAGGCCATATATTTCTTCTTTGAAATTCGAATTTTGAAGTTTTTTCAAAGAAAACAAGTGAGTACGCTTAGATAAGTCTTGGTGATTTTTTTCTTTTTTTTTTCAGGAAAAAGTCTTTAAAATTTGTTCACCTTCGTTTTTGGTTTTTGGCGGTTTCAATTTAGATTTTTACGAGTAATGAACGTAGTGAGTACTCTTATACAGGTGTTGCTGATTTTTTTTTGGTTCAGTAAAAAATCTTTAAATTTGTTCACGCTCAATTTCGATTTTTTTTGCGGTTTGACTCGTGATTTATTTTTAACTTCTGCATTTCGTTTGTTAAAAGGAAGGCAAATTTCACTATCGAACAGCGAAAGTTTGAAGGTCACGAAAAACGTGATCAACTTCTAGTTTCAAAAATGGAATTTAGTTTTCAGATTTCCCTGCGAAAGAAAATTTCTAAATACCGATCCAGTTTTCTCAAACTGGGTTAGTTTAATCAAAAAAACACCAATCATAACTTTTCTTTGAAATTCGAAGAGCTTGAAGGGCATATAGTTTTTCTTTAAAATTCGAAAGTTGAAGATTTTTTAAAAAGCACGTTTTTTGTTTCCTTGCGTTCAATACTCTTTTCCAGCTATCAGTTGGCTATGTTATGATAACTAATCACCAGTTTTTTATGAATTAAATTTTATTAGTTTTGCGATAATTTTGGTTGAGTTTGTAAGCTGATGGTTTTTTGGCAAAATGAATAAAAAATCTATAGTTTTATCTGATCGCAAAAGTTTGAAACGATTGACAATAAACTCATCATCTTAATTAATGCGCCTGAATTGATGTAATTTTTTCTTCGAAGGTATTCGTTTTTAGATTGGAGCTCAGCTTCGCCTCTCTGTTGGTTTATTTTGAAGCTCGCTTCAAATTCAGTCACTATGTTCTAAAAACTCATTAGATTGTGTGTATGTTGATGATGATTTCAGACGCAGTTCACCCTTATCTTGGCCCACAGTATCCTGGGTCTATTCATGAGTTGCGGATTCCCCCGACACTACCTCCTTATCCTTTTCTTCTACAACGTCTCCATGTTTTGGCTCTTCTCAGACTTCTACTCCAAGTCATACACTTCGAAAAAACAACAACAACAAATGGCACACAAGCAACAACAACAGTTAGGCGAAAATAACACGAGCAAGAGTGTAACGGGAGAGGATGTTGATGGGACCGAGAGACGATCTTCCCTCAGACAGAGGTCAACTAATCAAAATTGAGAAACGAAGCAAAGAAAACCGAACTGAAAGTCAGCTGAGTTCATTCAGTCGAACACGTCTAAAAATTGATGATATAATTGAACGCTTGGTGTAAACTCCTCGTGTGTAATACTTTGATCAAAGATTATGTTCAAGCTCAATACAAATAAGTATTGGTGTTGTTGTCGTGAAATGATAACAAGCACCAAAACCTTATCAAAACATACAATGTAGCTGCACTCAGCATGCACAAATGCACGGTACGGTACAGTTTTATGCTTAAAACCAACTCAACTCTGTTGTCACAAAAGAGCTTACAATTTTCTCGACACCTTCTCTAGGCGGCTTTAGAAGGGAAAAGTTCCTTACTTCTGTTGAAATAGGTCAGACTACAATATGGTGCCATTGATTTTTCTTGAAATCTACGGGCTTAGATGACTTTTAATCATGTTTTCGAACTAGAGCGCCCTATTGAAATATTCTAAAGCCGCCTCTGATTGAAAAACATCTCAGCTCATTTATACATTGACTTGTTAAGTTTGATTAATTACATCTGAAATACAGTTGATTCTAACAACCTACCAATGATGAATTATTTTGATATAAGCATGTTTTTGTTATAACTGATTTTGTGCAATGTGTATGTCTATTAAATTCGCAAATTAACTACTTCAAATTTCAGGAGCTATGTGTGTATAATTTGATGCGTGATGTGTGAGTTTTGAAAAACGGATCTCTAACTATTTCCCTCCTATGGTACATAATAACGATTTGCCACCCCTATAAAGAAATAATTCAGCGGTTAAGTGTATGTGAAGTTTATACTTAGTAACAACTCCCCCTTTTTTGCAAAGGGGGAGGTTGAATAGTAAAAGAGATCCAAAAAATCAATTAATTTCCTCAAAAATGTAAGCTTTCGAAAGTTTTATTTGCAATTTGATTATCATGATGTCACAACGTGTATGGTTAAACGAATAGATTCGCTACCGGACGCTTGTTGCTATTTTGTTTTAAATGAAAGGCAGTAAAGTTGACGTTGAAGTGACTTGGTAAAACTATACTATATGATTTGCTAGATTTCTGTGTCATAAACTTCTGGTTAAGTGGTGCCAAAATGTTCATGCGCAAGCCTGTGATTTACTTAAATTTGAAAAACTAAGAAATTAATTTTCCACCTTCCATGCTCGTCCCGAAATCAATTATCCCTTAATTGTAGGTAATATAAACAGGGGCGGATTTAGGGGGCTCAGGGGTTCGGCCATCTCACCAACCAAAGGGTATTAATTTATGATCTCTAATTTCGGACAAATAACCCTAAAATTTGTGTGAAGGCGTCATTGTATACTAGTTTCGAAGGGTAGCGCGACCAAAACGCGCGAGTTTTTGGGCAACATTTTCAAAAAAAAACCCAAAAACGACCCAGGAAATTCGGGTCAATATAGGGTCTTTATAGTGATTTGGAGAGCTCGGAGAATCATTTTAGTCGACTTAAAAAGGTCGACAAATTTTTCAAAAAGTTTGTGAAAATCCCCCCCCCCCTCGAGAAAATCTTAGATCCGCCCTGAATATATATATATATATATATATATATATATATATATATATATATATATATATATATATATATCTTCCTTAGAACAACCAACCAACAACTCTATCCTTTTTAATTGTAACTTCGTCTGAAAGAGATAATATAATATTATATAATCGATAGCCTTTTAATTCTCAGTTATGATAACTTCAGTTTTATATCAAAAATTTGCAAAATTGAGTTAAGAGGTTAATAATAACGACGAAATTTACTATATGTGAATCGCAACCAATTTTATGCTGAAACCACGTTTAAAAGTCTTAATAATTGTATATTTGCTTTGTCTGAATGAATTCCTAGAGTATTCAAGTATTTGACAATACAAATAGTTTATAATGTTTTATCTACTGGTGAAGTGAAAGACTAGGACCGTTGTCAATCGAAATGCATTTAGGGAAAGTTGGGGGAGTTGAGATGCCCAGTGTTTTTTTTTCAACCGGAAGTTCAATGCCCATCTATGTTACCAACCTTCATTTGCTTGAGACATTTCAAATCCGGAAAATAACTCAAAAGTTACATGTAATCCCCAGCAAATGCTAGTTAAAAGAACAATGACCGGTTGCTGAATGAGTTGCACAGAATTGTCCGACGATTGAAAGAGTTTATTTCTCCAAAGCTTTGGTTATAATTTTAGAAACAAAACAAGACCATCAAATTGAAATAGACAAAAGGCGCATTGCATTAATTAGACTCTGAGAGTCTACCTGGCTTAAATAACATATTCAAGTTTTATCAATTTAATTAACAGAACAAAAAGCGATCAATTGAAGCGAACATATGTACCAGTTTTCAAAAAAAACCACATAAATTGAGGTATAGAATCCTAAATAGTTTCGTTTTGCACTAGACAAAAAACTGCTGAGAAGCTATTATAACGACCAAAAATCATCTGCGAAAAATACTAGGCTATAAAAGAAGAGAATTGTAGTACGACCTTCAAAAAGTAGAATAATTTTGAGGATCAAAATTTCTGTCTAGAATTCGAAGGCTGAGGATAGTCTTGCTGCATTTGCGAACTAGTAGCAGGTTTTTCGATCTGGTGTGCCTGCATCATGCCTATGCATCAATGCCTAGTATCTGTACCGTAACCAACTTTCTACAGCCATCGAAATAGTCGAGCCCTTTTTTGGAGTTTTTTTATTTTCTCAAAAAGTGTGCACATATCTGAGATTTTAGGTTCAATGGAAAGTATAGGTTAGGGAAAACTCCCCAGCTAAAGCCGTTACACCCAATTTTTTCTTTCACAAAAAGTCAGTGCCCTCAGAAAAGTCAAATATCTTATTTTTTTGACCACTTAATCAAACGCTCAAATACCATCACAAATCTGAGATTTTTGCTTATATCGAAAACACTGGTTGAGTGAAGCTTCTTTGCATCTGCAGTTGTACCCATTTTTTTCAGAAAATGTTATGGCCCTCAGAAAAGTCTATTTTTTATTTACCGTTTATGGGAACTTTTTAAAAACCCTGTCAAATCAGATTTTGGGAGCAATGGAGAGAACAAACTACGGGTAGCACTCCTGCATCAGCGGCTATGCCCAATTTTTTTACCCAAAAATTAGTTTACTCGGAATTATCCTTTTAAAATTTTTTTTTAATCTCAAAAACTACCCTCCCAAATTTGATCGGATTTTAGGTTCAACCGAAGAAATGGATTGCGCAAAATTTTCCTCTATAAGTGGCATTTTTTTTGACGGTTTTTTGAAACTTTTGTCCTGACCTAAAAATCGCCCTCCCTAGTCTGAGGTTTTGGGTGTAATTACGAGAATGGGCTGTGGGAAATTCTCCTGCATCAACGGCTTAACCCAAACAGTTTTAGTTTCAAAAAATATGTCTTTCGGAAAAGTCATTGCTTTGATTTTTGTACTGTTTTGTGAAACTAATTGATTTTTCTCAAAACCATCTTCCTAAATGTGAAATTTTGGTTCAATGAAAAAAAAATTGAACGAAGCTCTTTTGTATCAGTGGCTATGTCCATTGTTTCTCACAAAAACGAGAGGGCTCTCAGAAATGACAATGTTTTGGTTTTTTTTTCTTCAATTTTTGAGATCTGTTTTTTTTTCGAAGCAACCCAGGCGAATGTAATATCTAAGCCTTAATCGAGGCATAATTTGAGGTTGTGGGAAGCCTCCATGCAAAAGTAGCTTCGGCCTTAAGTTTGTACGAAACATATTTGTCTTTGGGAGAACTCCAGTTTCTCAATAAGTTTTTTTTTTCAAGTTTTTGTTTATCTTGATTAAGAAACAAATTACACTTTTTGCATTTCCTTATATACTGTTTTGCCTAAGCAGTTTATTTGGCCTGAAAGATTTTATATAATCTTCGTGCGAATTCTTTATTCTTTTTGTGTCGTTTTTTGGGTGCACATTTTTGGTCATTCGTGTGGTTGATGGGTTGGGGTAGGTTGGTGTATGGTTGATTTCTTAGGCTTAGATTTCTGTTTTCATCAATTTTTTACTACTGGAAGTTGTTTTTGTTATCTTTCCTCAAAATGAATTACTTTGAGATAAGTATAAAGTTTTGCAACATTTTTATGTGTTGCCAAGAATCGTGCGAAGCTACGCTTTGTTTTTGCATAGCAAAGGCCAGTGAAAAATTCAATAGCCTCTTTTGAAAACTATTCGAAACTAAAAAAATTCCGTTTTTTTTTATTATGTTACATGAAGTTCAAATTAGTTGAACAAAAGTAAGTTCTTCAGTTGACCGATCAAATTTTTCCAAGTACAAAACGCTTTTCGATTTTCAGAGCAATCGATTGGTCGTTCCTGGACATAATAATGATTCTAATAAGTCATTAACTACACCTTTGAGTTTTCGCTTGATAGCAAATAGAAAATACCAAAAAAAAATGAAAGAAAAAAAAACTCAAGATCACAAAAAAGTCGGAAAACATAAGAAAAATTAAAATTTTGTATTTCAATTACAGATTCTTTTTAATTGTGATGGACGTACATATGAATTTTTTGTCGTGTAAAAAATAGAAACTCAAAAAACCTTTTTTATCATTTTGCTAAAACTTTTTTGCAGACAACTTAAGGCTTTCGATCAGATTCGCTCATCACAGACAAAAACTACAGAATTTTTAAAAAAAAAATTAAACAGCCACCGGCTATTTTTTCTTTTTTGGTATATATACTAAAAATAATGCCTACTTAGCTAGTTAAATCTGCGTATGGGACTAGACTTAAATCACACTCGCCAACAACTTAAGCACAGTTGTCTTGAATGCAACGCTCCTATTTACTCGCTGACAAGTTCAAATTTGTGCCGGAAGTTTTGCAATTAATAGGAAAATTACCTATTTTTGTCGGAAAGTTATTCGTGCCTTAGACTTTGTTTTTACTATAAGATTTTGTTTCCATTCTTTACCGTGACACACTTACAAGCCTTTTTTTTAAAAAAAAAACCCAATTGCTCATTTATGCAATTTAATTACTTAAATGGTATTTTTTGACTCTTGACCATTGGTTTTTTTAAAGATTTGTGATCGCTTGGGGCTTTTTTTCAAAAGTAAAATAATTCGTTCTGGCATTTTTTCCGTTGTTCTGATAGTTTTCTACCTATCTTTCTGTATTTTGTACATTTGAAACTTTGGACCGTGGAAATAATACTGAATATTTCAAAATGGAAGTGATAGCTCTGTTTTGAATTATGAAAATAACTTTTTTTTTGGATTGAGAGTTCATCTTTCTGTTCTGTTTTTGAATTTTTTTTTTGCCTGATAAGAGATACCCAACAAAATAAGCATTTTTGTAAGCAACATGTTACAAATTTGAAAGAGAGTCCGTTTCATGGTTTTTTCTTGTTTATTTTAAACGTTAAATGGTTTTTGCATCGCAACGCCTTTGATTTACAAAGTATTGTAAAAATGATTATTAAACGTGGATAAAAACCAAAAATTTTGCTACCAGTCTCTGACTACTATCAAAAAAAAATTAGCTAGGGTCCAGTTTCGATGATTGGTAGAAACTGTTTTTTGGGATCCAAAGCTCGAAACTCGGCAGTTGTAAGATATTTTAATCTGAAAGATTCATTTTCAATAAGAAAAAAATGGTCCCTAGAAACTGATTAATAACCCCTATCAGCATAAATGCAGAATTATTTGGTCGAGTCAAATGTTTTGGGGTTGTTAATTGCTATTCTCCCCTAAATCAGCCCTGGTGCGTGGAATTTTTACAAAAATAAATCTGCAAAAATTCCATATTTTAAAATTTCTTATCAATTTTTTCTTTTTTCTTAAATGATTACCCATTCCTTGGACCTTATTGGACAGTCGGAACAATCAAAAATTTCACCAAAACGAGCAGTTTTGGTTTGGTTTTGTATTAGAAATGAATTCTTGCTGAAATGTAATTTTTTGAAAGTGAACTTAGATTTGCCACTGATAATTATCTACGACTATTTTTCGATAACCACAAAATTTTTTTCTACTTCCTATTTTACAAACTTCTCATAAATGGTCTTGTTCTTGATATCTTGAAAGTGGACTAAATTTTACGCCTCAAAAAGTTTTTACGATATTGCTTGTATCAGGGCGAGCCTTGGATGTTCCGTCTGCACTATAGCCTCGATCACATAAAAAAAACTTT